TGCGGGCCCAGAGGGGTGCCTCCAGGCACGGGCCTGCGCAGCCCCCTGAAGCCGCGCACCTAGGCAGGGCTACTCCTGTACAGTCGGCCCGGATTAGTAGGTCGACCCTGCCAAGTCAAGGGTACCATTGTGTCCTGTGTCTCGCGACCCGTGTTTCCTGCATTCCTATGGCATTGTGGCCCTCGGAAGGGTCTTTTGTCCTCTCGCGTGTCCTGTCCAATCAAGTCCGACTGTACGTGTAGTCGATCGGCTCCAGCATTGCGGCGCACAGCTTCTTCTCGACACGAAGCACAGCTCCCAAGACTCGCGGCAGCGCTGGGAAGGAGGATTGATCGTCAACGACACGGGGAAGGGCCAAGAGGGCGCCCACAGGAGGCCCAAGCAGGACCCAAAACCTCGATCTTCGATCCTCGGACCGCAATTTGGGCTCGAGCCATTCTGCCTGAAGCTGCTTCGGCTCGGACCATCTTGGGCTTGAGCCCATGTGTTGCCGTATGTCTCTGGATTCCAAGCGTCCGGCGAGGCTCTCGAGAATGAGTTGCTTCTTTCGAAATGGCAATGAAGAAGTGCGTTCGGACAAAACACTGGAGTGCAGCACTGCAGTTGCTCCGCGAAGAACTTCGACTAGGTATGAAAATCTCCCCTGGCCGCTACGTTACAGTTATCAGCGCATGCAGAGTTGGCGGGCAATGGCAACTAGCACTGTCGCTGCTCAGCGAGATGTGGGTGTCGAATGTTGAGCCCAGCGTCATCTAACCTACAATACCGGGCACTGCGCGTGCGAGAGGGGCCATTGGGGACACCCTCGCCGGGTCCTGGGGGGCGGCACCTCGGCGGCTCCGCTCGTGGGACGGTCCACGCGGGCCCCCAGAGAGCCCACGGTGGCTTCCAGGGAGCCCCAAGAGAGCCCAAGACGGCACAAGAGGCCTCCCCGACGGCCCAAGAGACGCCCAAGTGGCGTCCCAGGAGGGCCCCAACACGCCAAAATCAGCGATTTCCGTAAGGAAAAAGTGCATTTTGAGCATGTACGGCTTCTCGGCTTTCATGGCGATGCAGACGGTCCAAGAGGCCCCCAAGACCGCCCCAAGACGGCCCAAGAGGCTCCCAAGAGGCCACCAAGACGGCGCAAGAGGGCGCCAAGACGGCCAAAACGCGCCCAAGACGGCCCAAGAGGGCCCCAAGACGGCCCCAAGAGGGGGACCTCCAGCCCATAATCCCAGCCTTCCGCCCCAAGACGCCCCCACGAGGCCAGGTCCCAAGATGCCCCCAAACGGCCCCCCAAAGGCTTCGAAATTGCCTCCGAGAGGCCCGCGAGAAGCCTCCCCAGAAGGCCAACTCTGCAACACCCCCCCCCGACGGGCGGCCCAGCACGGCGCCCAAGGTTTCCGAAAGCGGCCCACCGTGGCCCGGGTGGACTCCCAGGAAGCCCTGAAAGTTCCTATGTCACTGAAGCCCCGTCGGATTGGAAGAACACACACACCACACCTCTTGGGACACCTCTCGCATCGTACCTCACGCCTCCTGGGACACGCGGCGTGCGAGAGAGGCCTCGGAAAACAGCGTCCCTGGGAGCCACGGGGGGGCCCATACGAATTTTTGGCAAGCCCTCCCGAGGAAGAGGTGTCCCATGAGGTGCGGGGTAGTGTTTTTTACTCACAGGTGGACTCCCTCCTCTCTTGGAACCGTCTTGGGGCTCCTTTGGAGCTTTCTTGGGGCCCTCTTGGGGCCATCTTGGGGCCCCAAGAGGGGCCTACAACCTGTCACGAAGACGGCCCCTTTTCGTGACAAGTTGTTGCGCTTTTTTCAAACCCTCTTGGGGCCCTCTTGGGGCAGTCTTGGGTCCTCCTGAGGGGGTCCTATGGGGGCTGAGGGCCCCCTGAGAGCTCTAGCCGACTTGCCCCCGCGTCTGGAGCTCTTGGGGGCTCACTTGGGGCCCTCTTGGGGCCCTCTGGAACAGGCTTGGGGGCCCCTTTGGAGCTTTCTTGGGGCCCTCTTGGGGCCATCTTGGGCTGGAAGTGGATGGCCGAAAAACCTTTCAGACCGAGCCGCCAACGCCCCGGAACGCTTTTTCTGGGACTACTCCCGCACGGCGCGTGTTCCAGGAGGCGCGGGGTATGGTCTTTCCAAACAGGTTACACCCCCTTCCTCGACCTCCTTCTCCTCGTTGCCCACGGTTCCCTCTGCACAGTGACTGCCGTCGTTTGCCAGTCACGTCGCTCCACCCACCTCTCGGGTTACTGCCGATGCTGCCATATCCGATGCTGCTGCAAACGATGCTCTCGGCGCCGACAGGATCATCGAGCACCCAGCTCGCCCTGAAGCACTGCGCAGCAGCATGCGCCCTCCCAATACATTAGCAATCGTGGACGGTAGTCCACAGGTCAGCCCTAGGTAGCTACAACGCTGGAATCAGCGCGTGCGAGAAGGCCATGCAGTGGCAGCGGGCTTTGGCGCTTCTCAGCGAGATGTGTGTGGCGAAGCTGGAGCCCGACGTCATCTCGCCTACGTTGGAGGGTCCTGTGGGTACAAGAAGTGTCTTTGCAGCAGCTTTCTCGTCGAGCCCCCCTGGCGGCTCTGGGGGGCCTTCTTCGAGCCCCGCGAGGGCAGAGAGGGCGCCAAGATGCCACCCGGATGGCCCAACACAGTTTTCGAGCGGGCCCGAGATGGCCAAGGTTGGCTCCAAGAGCGATCCAAGAGGGCCCGGCCCAAGCAGCTCCAAGAGGCCACCGAAAGGACCACCCCTGGGGCTCCCCGAGCCCTCCCAGGAATCGCCGAGCACACTCGCTCGGAAGCGAGCGCCTTCCCAAACCGAAGGTACGCCAGGGCTGGACCTAATCGCTGTTTTGCTGGACTTCGGCCGTGCTCTGTTTTTCCGTTTTGGCAGGGAGGAGCAGGAAAACAGGTAGAGCAAAACGAAAAACAGAACGACAACAAAACGAAACACCACGTTTAGGTCCAGCCCTGAGGTACGCCAATGTCCTGGGCTTCCTGGGCTTCTCGGGCTTCTCGGCGCCAGGATGCTCCAGGACGGCTTCGGAGGAGCCTCTGCGGATCCTTTCCCTGAGATCCGAGGTTGCGAAAGAAGTGCCACATCGCAAAATAAGCACGACCGGAGCCCCGTGACCCCGTCTCTCTGCGTCATGTTTCGAGCCAGATCGAATCGAGCTGTGAGGCTCCCGGGGGCCCGAAAGGGCCGTCCTGGTGCCCTTCTGGGGCCCCTTCGGGCCTCCCAGGCTGGAGGAGGAGGAGGGGGAGGAGGGGGAGGAGGAGGGGGAGGAGGGAGGCAGGAGGAGGAGGAGGAGGAGGAGGAGGAGGAGGAGGAGGAGGAGGAGAGGAGGAGGAGGAGGAGGGGGAGGGGGAGGAGGAGGAGGCCCCTTCGGGCCCCTTCTGGGGGACTCGGGCGCGCCCTGGGCGGTCCAGAGGGCCCAGGGAGGGGGGACCGCCCAACCAGCCCAAGGGTGCCCACAGGCTGCCCCAAGAGGCACGCAGACCGCACCCCCCTGGTGAACCACGCCCGCCCCCCCGACGCCCCCCACCCCCAAGGGAGCTGCTTCGCGAGGCCCTCAAGGGGGCCCCAGAGTGGCCCCAGAAGCACCGTTCCATAGCCCCAGCACGAGGCGCACCAGCGTCCTCTGGGATAGCCTGCCGGCGAGGGAAGGAGAAGGAGAAGGCTTTCTCAGAAGGCTCGAGGGTACCCCTGGCCTACTGAGAAGTTTTCTGAGCCTTCCCCGAAGACACTGAAATTTCCCAGAAGGCGCGAGGGCTTCTGGGAAGTCCCGCCGCCTTCTGAGAAGGCCTCCTCCTTCTCATCCCCCCCTCGCTTGCCGCAGATAGCCTGAGTGGACGAGCGTGGGGTCCCGAACGGAAAACTTTAGATCGGCCCCACGCGCACGTCGAGACCCTCGGGAGATTCGTGTGCTTGCCGATCCTCAAGTTTCCCTCCTGGGTTGACGGTCAACGCTCCTCGCTCCGCGCCTACAGCTCCTCGCTCATCGCCCTCCCCCCCTCTCTCCTCGCTCTCTGATCCTCTCTTCTCTCGGCGGCGAGGGGGGGGGAGGAAATGAGAAGGGGAAGGCCCTCTTAGAAGGCGGCGGGACTTTTCAGAAGCCCTCGCGCCTTCTGAGAAGTTTGCTTGTTTTTGTGGAAGGCTTTTAGAATTTCTCAGAAGGCCAGGGGACTTCCGAGATTCCGAGATGACGTTCGTCTTCTCGCTTCCCCCCATCGCTCGCCTTCGATTCTCGTGCTTCGCTCCTTGCTCTCTCCTGCCCCCTCGCTCCTCGCCCTTGGCTACTCGCTCCCTCCTCGGCTCCCTCCTCCATCCGCAGCCCCTCCCCCCCGTCGCTCTCATGCCCTGTCGCTCCCTGCGCCCTCGCTTCTCCCTCCCCGCTTCTCCCCCCCCTCCTCCTCCTCCTCCTCCTCCTCCTCCTCCTCCTCCTCCTCCTCCTCCTCCTCCTCCTCCTCCTCCTCCTCCTCCTCCTCCTCCTCCTCCTCCTCCTCCTCCTCCTGCTCCTCTGCTGCTGCTGCTGCTGTGCTGCCTGCTGCTGCTCTGCTCCTCCTCCCTCCTCCTCCTCCCCTCCCCTCCTCCTCCTCCTGTTGCCGCTGTTGCCGCTGCTGCTGCTGCTGCTGCTCCTCCTCCTCCTCCTCCTCCTCCTCCTCCTCCTCCTCCTCTTCCTCCTCCTCCTCCTCCTCCGCCTCCTGCTCCTTGCAGCAGGATGCAGCAAGCAAGCGCAGCGAGTAGCAGCATCCTGCAGCAGTGAGCAGCAGGAGTGCAGCGCAGCAGGCCGCAGCACGCAGCAGGCAGACGCAGTTGCAGCACACAGCAAGCAGAGCTGGCAATCAGCATCACCCCGCAGCCACAAGCAGCAATATCAAGAGGAAGCGGCAGGCATTACCAACAGTGCGCAACAACAACAGCAGCAGCAACAGCAGACAGCGTCACTTACTGACAGGCACGCAGCATCTACCAGCACTACGCAGCAGCAGTGCCAAGGCGCATCACGTAGCAGCAGGCAACGGCAAACACCAACCCGTAGTGGCAAGTAAGAGCAGTATGCGGACATGACATTTCAGCACGTTGGCACGCTTCACCAGCAAGCGGCAGGAGCGGACGGGCAAACAATGAAGCATGCAGAACAGAAAGTAGGTCTGGCCAAACGCAAACAGGTCACCAGTCCCACAACCACGCGAGCAGGACGGCAGGCGAGTCGACAAGCAGGCAAGCACATCTCACTGTTGCATGCGGCTGGTCAGCTACAACGCTGGGATCAGCGCGTGCGAGAAGGGCGAGCAGTGGCAGCGGGCGCTGGCGCTGATCAGCGACATGCGAGAGGCGAAGCTGGAACCCGACGTCATCCCTCCTACGATTCAAGAGCCCCCGCGTGCCAGGAAGGCCCGGGGACCGCTGTGGGCTTCCTGGCCCCGCCGAGCCGCCCGCGGAGCCCGCTGGATCTCGAGCTTCCAATGGGAGGAGGGAGGAGGGAGGAGGGAGGAGGGAGGAGGGAGGAGGGAGGGGAGGAGGGAGGAGGAGGAGGAGGAGGAGGAGGAGGAGGAGGAGGAGGAGGAGGAGGAGGAGGAGGAGGAGGAGGAGGAGGAGGAGGAGGAGGAGGAGGAGGAGGAGGAGGAGGTGCAGGAGCAGGAGCAGGAGCAGGTGGAGGAGGAGGAGGAGGAGGAGGAGGAGGAGGAGGAGGAGGAGGAGAAGAAGGAGACGGAGAAGGAGGAGGAGGAGGAAGAGGAGGAGGAGGAGGAGGAGGAGGAGGAGGAGGAGGAGGAGGAGGAGGAAGAGGAGGGGAGACGATTCGTGAACAGGGGGGAGCCCTCCCCTGATGTCCTGGCCTTCCCTTCCTACTTCCGCACGCCCTCGGGCCTCCGCTCGGCTGCGCACGTGCCCCGCGCCTCTTGGGCGCCCCCCTCCCGAGCGCCTCCCAAAAAGAAGGGGCCGCTCCCCACCAACGGTCGCCAAAGTATTCCCTCGCGGCGCTCTACGACGAGCGCTTCTGGTTCCGCCCCCGAGCGCCTCCCAAGAAGACGCTGCCGGCGCCTCCCAGAGCAGCCCCGAGGGCCCCGAACAGCAGGGTACCCCTCCTCTCCCATTCCCTTGCGTCCTAGGTGATCCTCGCTGTCTGGTTCCCGGGGACATAACTCTCTGGTCCCAAAACGGCCCGAGGGCCCCAAACGGCGCCCGAGGCCAGCCCCCTGGGGCCCCCAACGACGTCCCTAACATATTTGTGGAGTCCCTGGGCAGCCCAGAGATGGCCGAAGTGGCCCCGACACGATCTACGATGGCCCTACAGAGTGCCCCCGATAGGCGGACACATGTCGCCGCGCCGTCTGTTCCGACGCGCGGCCTTGCGTTTCGGGGAGGGCGCCTCGGCCACCAGGGCAAACTCCGCCTTGGGCGCGTTCGTTTGCCGTGAGGTTCGCCGCGGTGCCGGCTTCGTCTATTCGGGCGCGTTCAGAACAACTGGCGCGGCGACATGTTGAAGGGCCCCAGACACTTCGCGAAGAGGGCCCCCCGTGGTCCGCACTTGCCGCTGGCCTCCTCGGAGTGCGACCCAAACGCCCCCCCCCCCTATCCCCTCCGCCCGCCCGCCGCCCCCGCGGCTGCAGCTGCAGCTGCTGCTGCTGCTGCTGCTGCTGCTGCTGCTGCTGCTGCTGCTGCCGCTGATGCTGCTGCTGCTGCTGCTGCTGCTGTTGCTGCTGCTGCTGCTGCTGCTGCTGCTGCTGCTTTTCCTGCTTCCCCATCTCTTGACATCGCTCCGGCGTGTGCGCATGTTCTCGGCGAGGACCATCAAGGAGCCTTTTTGGCCCATCCTGCGAGAGAACGCACGCACGAAACCGAACGGCGCACGTGGAATGGGCGTCCGAGCGATGGCGGGTTTTTTGAAACAGAGAAAACGGCAGCGGATTTCGTTGATCGGCGCCAGGTCCACCTGGCGGCGCCTGCGGCGCCGCCACTGGCGCGCTCTGTGCGCCAGGGAGGGGGGGGGGCCAGCTCAGATCCAAGAGGCCCGCGCGGATCGTCAACACCTTGTGTTGATGCCGTCCTTTGTTCCTGTAGTTTTGCCCTCCCCCCTCCTCCTCCTCCTCTTCCTCCTCCTCCTCCTCCTCCTCCTCCTCCTCCTCCTCCTCCTCCTCCTCCTCAAGCTTCTCTGGCTCAGGTCGGGCGCACGCCTCACCCGTTTTTGGCTTGTGTTGGGGCCCGACCGCTGTGCCACCGCGATGTGTGCGGTTTGAGCGTTCTTCGCATTTCATTTCGAGAGAGCGAACAATTGGGGCTGAGACTGAGCTGTTCCTCTCCTTCCTGCAGGTGTGTGCGCGTCTTCGTCCCCGAGCCCTTAGCGACTACGGAGTTGCTCGATTAGGGCAGCACCGTCAGTGGCGGCGTCTTCGAAGCGTACACTCTCGGATGGGACTACCACGTGCGCATCACCTCACCAATTCACAGCTGGGGGCAAGAACATATTCTCTTGAAGACGTGCATCGGTTTTCGCATAGTCCTGC